TTCTTATAGACTTCGCGAGGGTCTCCGTCGGAGCAAATGCGCTTCAGCGCGGCGACAACATCCATACCGGTGCTCTGGCGGGGTCGGTGTCTGGGTCTGGAACCAGGCGCGCCAGGGACGCCAACCTGCTGTCGCTGGCCGGGGCCGCCGTTTGCCGTAGGGCCCTGGGCGTACTGGTGCTGCGACTGGGGCGGGGTCGGCTGCTGGGCGGGCTGTCTCTTGCTCGGGGCACGGCTGATCTGACCAGACATGGCCGCTTGGGCCTGGGCAAGGGCCTGTTCTTGCTGCTGCTGCATGAGTTGCTGCTGGTAAATGTTCGCCTGGGCAGTCTGCGGGTTAGGCGTGGGGGGCACGTAGGCGGGGGAGGCGCCGGCACGCGAGTTGGATCGGGATCGGGATCGGTGCTCTCCACGATGCTCTTCGGGTAGCATGGGAACGTTGCTCTCCTTGGGCGGCTGGTAGGCGACCGGGGGGAGGTCTTCGGCGGGCTGAGACATTCCAATGCCGGAGTCCTTGCCGGGGTAGTTGGAGGGAGCGGCCCTCATCGATGAGGGCATGCTGACGGGGGGCTTCGGGGCCGGACGGCTGGGCATCAGGTTGATGTCCTTGCCGGAGCCTTTGCCTCCCGATACTCCAGGAACGGGCGGCGGCTGGCGGGGGTTTTCGAAAGATCCTTCATGATTGACAGTTGGAAACCTTGGGCTCGCAGGTGGACTGATCATTGGTGACATACCCATATAAGCGGTTGGCGGATACATGCCCGGTGACATGGCACCCGACGGCGAGTTCGCGTTTGCATACTGACGGTAGTCAGGCGCTCTGGCATCGTGGAATTTCTCCAATACTTGATCCTCGGCTGGCTTCTCGGTCGTTTCCTTGTAGAATGTGATGATGTCAACCATGGTCTGGGGGTTCTCCCTGCGTTCCTTCTCGGGAATTCCACTCTCGTTGATCAACCTCTGCCATTCTTTGGGGAGACCCTGTGTCGTTTAGAAAAAGAAAAAAGTCAGCCACACCAAGCACGAGGACAAGGAGGAGAAGGAGGAAGAAGAAGAAGAAGAAGAATTAGTAGAAGAGAAGCAGGAAGTAAGTAAGAACTCAAACGGCCAAGAGAGAGAAACAGAGAAGCTGGGGAAACGAGGGCCGACTGACGGTGAACTGGCCAGTAGAGCTGTCATAACCGACGTGGGTGACATGGACAGGGTTCTCAGGCGCCGAAATGACTGGCTTCTTTGGAGTACCGACGAGACTGTTCATGAAGCCAGAGAAGCCCGACTTCTTGCGCAGGACGCCCATGCGGGGCTCCTTTGCCTCGTCCGAATATCTTTTGGGGCTGATCATTGAATTCTCCGTCACCCGCCCGCCTTGTGATTTTTCGTTCATCACGGAGGAATCGTTCGTGAAGCTCTGGGACTGTCTCAGGGCGGGGCCCTTGATGCGCGGATCGGTCGCCGAGTTGATGAGCGGGGCGGGAGCGTTTTGTCGGTGGTAGTTGGGCGTGTTGAAGTGAGGAGGCTGACCGACGACGGGCGACTTGGTCTGCTCGATGCGGTTCAGGACCGCAGCGCCGTCAAAGGGAGCGCCGATGAATTCGTCGTGGGGTTGTGACGACAAGGGCGAGGGGGCGGCGGGATCGAGCGGGCGATCGGTGCTATGGGCGATGCCAACAGCGAAGCCGTTGCCTACAGAATTGTTGTTGGTGTTGTTGTTTGGGTAGAAATTGTTTTGGTGATTGAAGGGCTGCTGGTGAGGAGAAAAGGCGTGGGCTTGGGCGTGGGCGTGGGTTTGGGCGTGGCCGTGAACAGCAGCGCCAGCGGCAGCAGAAGCAGCGTGGAAGGTGGAGGAGGAGGTCTGGGCCTGGGGGTGGTGGTAGGCAGTTGGGGAAGGAGCGGCGGCGGCGAACTGGCCCTGAGGCAGAATGGGGGAAGGATTGGGAAGGTGCGTCTGACTTGAGGAAAGGTGCCGGGGCGATGAGCTGTTGGAAGCGGCAGAAGAAGCAACGCCGGATAGAATACCAGAAGCCGAGCCAGAAGCAGAAGCAGAAGCAGAAGCTGGCGCGTTTGAGGGGGTCGTCCGGGCAGGTGGAGCGGAAGGAGCGCGCTTCAGCGAGGTAGAGCTGCGTTTGCTCTGGAGAGAGAGGGCGTCGATGCCACCATCGAGACCGCTCGAGGAGCGGGTGTGTTGCTGGTAGGACGAGGGCGGCTTCTTGGTGAGCCTGCGACGTTGGGAGGTGCCGTTGGAAATAGTTGTGCTCTGGCTGCTATCCATGATACACCCTAAAAAGACTAAAACGTCGAAGAAAGGGAAAGGGAAGGAAAAAGAGGGTATGAATAGAGGGTGTGTGAGGAGGAAAAAACTCGGTAGGGGCACAACGAGATGCTGTCTCCCCTTGACTTGTGCTCGAGACGTGGAGTGGACGGCGGAAGAGGTACGCACGCGGCGGCGACGGCGACGGTGGTGGTGGTGGTTTTGGTGGTGGTGGTGGTCTGTCTGCCTGCCTTACCTTACCGTCCTCAAGGTGATAAGGCAATGGAAGGCAGGGTAAGGTAGGTATACTGAGGCGTGTGGAGGGCCCGCGGTACCAGTAGCAACGGTGGAAGAGGCAGCAAAAGCGCAAGTACAGTTGCAGTGACAGCCGTGTCTCGAGACTTTTCGAGTCGGGGAGTGAATCGGGAAGGAGTGCAAGACAGAGAGGAGTGGTTTGGCCTTTGCCATGGTCCTAATTAGCAAGCAGCGGCGGTAATCGATCCAAGCATAGGTACCTAAGGTAAGGTGAGGTAGGTACCTCTGTACTTTGCTGTGGGAAGGTACCTACCCTACCTTGAGGAATGTACCCGACGTATTTCGTAGTGTCCGTCCAGTGTGAGGTAGGCGCTGGGTGGCAGCACTTTGCGCTCGATGGACCGGGACACGCTGATTGTCACTGGCTGGATGGAGACGATAAGTGGATTCTTGGGACCGCATGAGGTGGGCTGCGGAGCGAGGAGTGAAGTGGGCGACGACGGAGCGACGGGGGATTGTTTTGCTGGGACCCGGAGCTGGCAAGATTCGAGAAAAGCTGGAACTGGGGCCAACCGCCAACGCAAGAAAGCGACAACAATTCAGTCAACCGCCTCAGTATATGGTAAGGTACCTTGGCTTCCAGGGTGTTGAGTGGAGTGAACAATCACCAAGGTAAGATACTTCGTAACGTTCCTTGGATTGCCTGGCAGCTTGGGTGGACGGAAGCGTGGGTAGTCAGGCAAGGGAAGGAATGGATGGATGGGACTACGGATACCTTTGCAGATTTCCTTGGTGCCGCCAGTGCTGGTCGAAATTGCTGCGAACCATGGGAGGGAATATACATGCGGCTGGGATAAGACGAGACAAGACTGGTGGGACACAGGCGGGTGCAGTACAGAGGTGCGAAGACTCGAGCGATCCAATGTGCCAACGTGGTGGTGGTGTGTCAGAGACTTGCTTTCTTCACGGGCTGGGAACAACACTACTGGTACCTACCGTACCGGGTGGAGTTGGATGTTCTGCTTGCCTCCTCCTGTGGTTCCTACAATGGAGTATGTTTTGATGCTTGTGAAATAAAAATGGGCCCATGTAAATTTAAGTGGGAGAGGGACCAACTGAAAGAGGTCAAGTGAGGTGGGCAAATGGGCGTGGCAGCTGTGGGTATCGGGTGAAATGCACTGGACGCGGACGGGCTGCGTTACCTTAGCCTGGGGGCCGTGTGGCCGTGGCCCTGTGGTGTGGTAGTGTCATTGGTGTGGGAAAAGATGGAGGAGGATGTGGGTACCATGAGGTACGTACCTTGCCTTAGCCTGGGCTGGCTCCGTCAGACTCCCGTCCTCCTCCTCGCTCTCCTCAGTGTCCCTCCCTACCTTGCCCCTTGAGATGACAGAGCCCTGGCTGCCGGACTGGATGGGAGTGTCACAAACTTTCACCTTAACCACGGCACGGAGCCTTGCTTTCAGTCTTCAGATGGTATCCAAGACTCCAAAGTAGAAAACACTTGAGCGCAAATGTCTCGTTGCTATCCCGGTATTTTGGAAGGGAGTGAAAAAAAAAAAAAAAAATGGCAAGCTACAGAAGGCATTCCATATCCGTAATTGCTGTAGAAATGTGACAGCACGTAGGTACGACCGGACTCTAAAATGGAAAGACGGCTCGACTTGCCAGCACCGCGCCCGCGCTTCCGCTCCCCTAACTGGCTGCGATGGACGCTGACCGGCCGACGTATGATGCGTGCTACTTGCTGGAGTTGCGCTGCAGTCGAAAGAAGAAACCTGTACTTTTGATCCGGCTGCATATTCCTCTCGCATTGCAGCATCAGGTATCCAACGGAGCTGTACTCGAAATGACCTCATCTCCGGCATTGGGTTCCAGGCTGACTCCCACGCATACGACGGTAGACTGAGACTGAGACGGAGACGGGTTCGTTGTTTTTAGGCGCCTGCTAGGTGCCAGCTTCTTTTCTTATTTTTGTTTCCCATCGTATCACCAGGAAGCCGTCTTTGCGAGCTCATGTCCCGAGATGGACGATCCAGCGAAGCGGCTGGGCTACTAGCACACTCGGCAGCCCAACCAACAGTCGAATGGAACAGGTGACACCAAGCAATCGACGCCACTTCGTCGACAGTGTCTCGTCTGCGCGGCACTGTTGACCCTGCTCTATCGTGTGCCCCTCATCATCATCATCATCATCATCATCATCATCATCATCGCCGGGGAAATTCCAGTGTCCCTCAAGGCTGTATGAGCAAGGCTACCTCGGGCAAAAGTACGCGAGACAAGGTTGCTCCACTGGCGGCGGAAGAGCTTACTTTGAACACGGAGGTGAGGGACTTGTACTTGGAGGTCCTACCTTTAAAGAAAAGGGGAACAGCGAGGGGGTGTGATCGTAGTTGCGGCAGATGTGCATCACACAACGCCTCGTACCCTAGAATAGAGTGCAGAGCATAGAGTATTTTAGCAACAAAAACCCAGAGTCTGAGCTTTTTTCCGCCTTGCTAAGGTACTGTGTAGAGAGAGGTTGATTGACTTTCACTTGGCCAAGTATCATCTGTGTGTGCCCTCCGGGGCTCGACGTCGAATCGCTGGCGTGTTTGAGAGGGTAGGAGGGAAAGCTGGGGCAGAGACACCGGCGCAGGTCCTGGGCCGCGTCTGTGGTTCAAATTGATTGCTTTCGGGAAGAAGCGCAGCGGGCTCCAGTCGAAGAGTAACAGCAACCGGGAGCAACCAACCAACAGACAGAGCTCGAGAGCAAAGCTACGGCAACTACCACCAGCAACACCCGCGAGGTAGCTTGCCATGCTACGCACACTGCTTGCTTCTTGCTTAGGTTGCTTGCTATGCTGTGCTGTGCTATGCTGGGCTGTGCTTCCACAGTTGTACCGTGCCTTGAAGTTGGAGGTTGCTTTACCTCAGGTCGACGTCGGTGCTGTGCGTTTCCCAGCCTGCGCCCGTGCTCCATTCAGTCGGACTGCTTGCTTGTGTTTATTTGGAGCCTCAGACCTGACGGTCGATCCTTGGTCAATCTCAGGTGCGAGATGGACGTCTCTGGTCGACGGGACCTGCTGATCACACGGCGGCTCTAGTGCTAAAGTTGCAAAAGTAGCCCGTACCACAGTATCCATAGGTCGGGCATGCAAAGCGGTAGGTCAGAACCAGGGTATTCGGGGGTCAGGGATTGGGGTCGCCGTCGCAGTCGGGTCAGTGGGGAGGGGAGGGGAGGGGAGGGAGGGGAGGCGGAGAAAGCTGAAGCACCAAGGGTCTTGAATCTGACCTGGAGCAAGAGAAACAAAATGAGCAGAGCCGTTTGAGTCGCCGTCTCGTACTATATTATGGAACGGCCAAGTGTGCATTGCATTGCTGCAAATCCATTTCCGAACATCGATGCTGTCTGACCAGGCAATTTGGTGTGGCAGAACAAGAACTCGGAAGCTGGG